CTTTTTATTTCTTATTGAACTGTATTGAATCGATTTTAAATATATATTGCATTGAGTTGAAAGCTCACTGTATCGAGATATGTATCGTATCGTGGCCTATGTATCGAGATATCGTATCGACAACTTCTTAATGAATTACAAATTACAGTTTACCCACTAAATACCAACAACAACCTTTTTTCAACATGGATAATAAAATCCACAATAACTTCTCTTCTATGGTGGCTTGCAAGGACATTTTGAAAACTAGTGGCGTCTCCAAAAAAGCCAAAAGCGACAATTTGAATTTTGCCAACTTCCAAATCCCAAATTTAACCGCGTGACCAGACTTGGATATCATGTATAAATTTGACTTCCCTTTCCCTCCGGACAGAACATCCCAGCCTTGAAAAGAAAAAAACAGAAAAAACTTTACACTTACATCTTATTGCATCATATTTTAGCTGTTTGAAGACTTAGCGACACTGTGCTAACTACGCTAATTAGCCATACTGTCCTCGCCGCCGCTGTTGTTTTGTATTCAAATCAACATGCGGTGAAAATAACTGCTTTCGCCAGCTCGCGTCTCCAGGGTTGGCGGCGGACGGCTCGTATGTAGAGACGAATGCTATTAGCTAGATTTCAATCTTTTTGCCGCTATAATGTGCACGTCAATCAGGCTCACGGGCGCATACATGTAGCCACTCGGGAGGCCTATTAAATTTTAAACGCTCACCTGCTCCTTCTATAAACTGTGTGCGACAATAACAGTTTTAATTGCGAGATTGGTTTGATTTTACCGCACAAAAGTCGTGGAGATGGAGGCGTCTGGGGAAGGGAAAGGGCGTTAATGTTTCCGAGGTTCTTAGAAGTTTTGAAGTTTTGAAAAATGGGCTCCCACAGTGAAGTTTCACACAATTACCATTTACACATTTACTTCCTATGACCTCGTGTATAAAACTGTGATTTTGTATTTTATTACGGTAACACTTTATAATAACTACACATTATTTAGCCTTAATAAAGCATGAACAAAGACTTAATTAATAATGAACAAAGACTTAATTAATAATGATTCACGCTTAGTAAATGCTTAATAAATGATAATTCGTCTTCACTTTAGAAAAGCTCTCAAAAAGACTTAACTAACAGATAATAGCTGCCTGAATTATCATTGCTTTGCATTATTAGTAAATCATTTTTTCATAGCTTACTAATGATTAATAAATGCTCAAATGGTTAGTTCATGAGTAATTAAGTATGAAATAATTATGAGTAACTATTTATATCACAGGCAAATTCAGTGCAAGTCCTAATTAAGGTAGTAATTAAGTAGTTACTAAGCGTGAATCATTATTAATTAAGTCTTTGTTCATTATTAATTAAACCTTTGTTCATGCTTTGTTAAGGCTAAATAAGGTGTAGTTATTATAAAGTGTTACCTTTATTACTTATCTTTCTATTTTATTTTGACTTGTACATTTACATTTATATAATTATGTCTTATTTGACAACTGTCTCTTGCTCTTTCTTGCTACTTATTTCGAATTTATTATTTTTGTATTTATATTTTGCCCTTTGTTATTATATTATATTGTGATGTGTGAGTAGGGTTGCCAACTCCCTGAAAAATAAATAAGGGACACCTCATTGGCAGGGCTGATGTCCAGTTGATTTGAGCCACATAGTTCCAGTCGAAATGCTGTCGATTTGAGCTCCGGAGGCAGACGTGGAGTAACAAGTCACATTTTAAAAGTGTATTGGTTTTATTGTATGTTTTGACCAGTTAAGCATGTAAGCATGTGCATGTTAGATTTGTCCCTATTTTAGTCGTCCCTTTTCAGCTCAATACGGAACGCGCACTTTTGTTTCTGAATATGGGACGATTCCGTTTTTCAAGGGGCGGTTGGCAACCCTATGTGTGAGCTACTGTGTCTAATTCATTTCCTTTGTGGATCAAAAAATTTTTTGTCTAAGTTTAAGTCTGTTTACAATATCTGACAAGTTCATTCACAAAAACAAACAAGTGCAATTTTAAATAATGATCAGAGGCTTATGAAGGGTGACCAGATTTTCAGAATTAAAAAAAAAAACTGGGACTTCCCCGGTTCGTGATGCCTGGGAATAATAAAATTGTTATGCACTGTGATGCTTCATTACATGTGAGTCAGCATGGTCACATTTTCGTTGTGTTTTTGCAATTTTTAAGTAGCTTTTCTGTATTTTACCAAAACAAATGCCTCTCTTTACTGTCAGCAGAGATCAGATTGGTCAAAAAGAGGGACACCTGGGACATTTCTTGGGGTTCAGCCGTATGTTCCCTCAGCCCTATGTTCCCTCATTTCTAATATTTTTCTTATTTCTCAAAATGAAACTCTAATTCAAGTTATTTTCATTTTTATACCGCATTTAAAGGGATGAGTCATTTCAACCTAGGGTCCTTTGCACCATGACCTCTACATTACATCTGTAGTCAACTGCTGCTGGTTAAAAGGTTGGGTGTAATTGACGGCCAAATTGGGAGAAATAGGGATCAAATTTGATGCAAATTGATGATAAAGGAAATGTGGGAACATAGGGCCTAATTTTGGAAAGAAAAAAAAAACTTTGAAATGAGGGAACATAAGACTGAGGAAACACAGACACGCTTCCCTCTTCTTGTCTAAGGCTACGTTTATATGATGACGGTTTGAACAGAAGACGCAGAAGTGGTGTCGTGTGTTCACTTTTAATTCTGTGTTTAGACAAGTGTTTTCGGGAGGAAATCTGCGTGCATATGGTGACGCAAAAGTGTGAGGAATTCGATTGGGTATGCATGCCAGGCGGCTCGGTGGTGATGTATGTGACGTAAACGCATATGTGACATGAGCAGATCTGACCAGAGTTTTGCGTTTTGGGCAGTGTAGACGGAAACACTGCGGTGGAGCGTATTCAACTTTTCCACTCTGCAGGGTGGTTTCAGATTTTTGCGTTTTTAAGCCCCAAAAACAAAACAAAAATATTTTGCTGTTTTTACCCGCAGGCATTCTCATGTAAACAGGCCCTCAAACTGAGATCCACTAGTTTTGGATAAATTGTCTGGCACAGGGGACACAGGGCTCAAAACTGGGACTGTCCCGGGTAAATGGGAACGTCTGGTCATTGTAGATCAGATGCATATAGTCTACTCTTTGTACAGAAATGTTTGTCAAAATCGAAATGATTTTATTGAAATTTAGATACTATTCCATCACTCCTTGATAAAAGTCACTGTACATTATTGTCATTGATAATATCTGTAGATGATGATTAACAATTTTTCAGTTTTTGCAATTGAACTCTTTGTTTTTCAAGTGAATTCATTACCCCCACATTCACCCAGGCTCTAACCTTTAAAGAGGGAGTTTTATAGATTTTCTTTTTAGTTTTTCCCTCATCAAAAACATTCCTGAAGAGGTTTTAGATGTCATTCATGCAAGTTTATGCATTTTAGCGCTCTTCTGGGCCCTATTCAAACCCTCCTTATGGTTAGCTGTTAAGATTCAGTGCACCCAAGCTCCCACACCACAGCCCTCCATAAATATACAAAACTGTACACAGCAACTTCACAAACTTGATGCGATGTAAGTTTTTACATGTGGTAATTATCGGAAGTGCTCCACTGTTTTTTTTAAACTCCCTCCATATACACCTTCACTAGAATCATTTGGATAATTTCAGCTCTGGAATTACCAATCTCTACTAATCTATCGTGTGAATGAAACAAAACACAACTCCAGGTCTGTTTATTTGAGGCAATAACGGCATTATAACTTGACTTAAAGCTCACAAGAGTCATTTTTGCAAGGACCTTTAACGAAAACATTTTCACAAGTTCTATAATAAAAATATATCAAAAATGTAAAAACAAGAGCAGAGACCCCGAAGATGAGAGTAAAAAATGAATGATGGATAAGTGGAAGATATATTAAGAGTAGCATCCCGCTGAGCTTGTGTCACCTTGCTCCTCTAGCCAACACTAATTCACCCACTTTTCCTTTCAGCATTTAACTTGACATCACTCTTTTTAGCTGTTAGCCTGGCAGGATGAGGCATAGAGGTCATTGGTTGGTCATATTCAAGCAGCTATAGATAAGGAATTCTAATTAAGACGCATACAACCAGGCTTTTCTGTGTTATGGTGTGTGAAATGTGAGGGATTTAGCTCTCTGCTGCCTCCTACTGGCTGTATAGCTACATTAGACTGGAACTGTAATAACCAAATGTTTATTCGACTTTAATATTACTCTTTTTTGTCTTGAAAACAGTGAAAAATAAAAAAACTAAACATTATATAATATTATATAGGTCATCGGATTTGCATATAAAAATATTTCTCCTGCTTGTCCAGCCGGATGAATATCATAGATCTAGGATTTTGTGTTGCAATCTGAAACTGAGCAATTCAGAATAAAAATCTGATACAAATGTTGATTGTTTTTAATTTGGATTGTGAATTGCCAAATTTACTGTTTTTTGTTTAAATCAAGTTCATTATTGTGGTTCTGCTACAATACATGCATTTTATTATTTCTATTGTATCGAACTTAGCAGTTATTATTTTATTTTTCTCATAGACATAAACAAGTTAATATTAAAAGTTTCAAATATTGCTCAGGCTTAATCAGCTATATGGTGACAAATGAGCATAAGATCTACTGTATATTTTCAATGAAAAACCGCCAAGTTATTGAAACTGATTTTTGTTGTCATACAGCGAGTTTGAGGGTTTAGGAAATAAGAGAAACGATCCGGTACTTTTTGATATTTCATGGCAAAGTACACTACATTTTATAATCTACAGGACATTATTGGGAGTATGACATTATCACTTTACCAATGAGATTTTTTAGAAATATTAGTTTTCTTATCAAAAGTTACAGGGATTTTGAGAACTATGTAAATTAACACTTTATGTCTTTGGTTGGTATGGTCATGTTTTAATGGTTGCAATTGCACAGTACATTTCCTCTTCTAACCTGCTGCTTCTTGTGTGTGTGCAGGGCTCTGGGCTCAGATCATCATGCCTCAGACCAATATGGATGTGATAAAGGGACAGACTGTGGTGCTGCTGGCTTCATACAGGAGCCCCCCGGGAACTGACCCCAGCAGCAACACTGTCATCTGGAACTTTGTCTCTGATAAACCGCAACTGGTAAGAACAAAGAACATCACAGTGTTCTATAGGCCAATATTATTTAATGCTGATGGGGGCAGTAAAATGCATAGTGTTCTAATGCAGATTTCATAATAATAATAATAATAATAATAATAATAATAATGTATTTTTAGACTATATGTCGCTCCGGAGTATAAGCTGTACAAGCCAAAAAATGTGTAATGAAGAAGAAAAAAACACATAAATCGCACCGCACTTTCTAGGAAAATTTATTTTTAATAAAATCAGAAACCAGGAACCAAAATTTCTTCTTATAGTGATGACAATAAAATAGAGAACAACAGGCTGTTAACGTCACATATGAACATCCATCTCACCCCAAATCACTAAATCCATTGAATTCTTCATCCTCGGTGTCACTTCAAAGTAACTCCGTTACCGGAGGTAAACACTGCTTAATCTCTGCGTAGCTGTCGTCAGACTCAGCATCAGTTCCAGTTAGAATTATTCCGGCCTTTTTGGATCCTTACAGGATGGTTTTGGTTGTCACTGAAGTTACTGAAGGCTTTGTCAATTCATCCAGTGACTTCCAGGAAAGTTGCATGGAGCACCCTCCTGGTGTCACAAATTTCTCACTCACTCCAAACTTGCTGCTCAATTACCGTTTTCAGCTGCATATTTCGCTATTTGCACCTTGTAATCTGCAAAATATGATTTTCTTTTTGGGGGCGTTTGTATTCAGTCTTTTTAGTTGTCTCAAATTTTCAGTGGTACAGAAGTAATGGTGCGATCGACTGACATGATACAGACAGGACAGCTGCATTTTCTGCAGGAGACATGCACAGTAGAGCGAAGTGACAGTGGTACAGGAGTAATAGGAGCAGCAGATACTGACACACAAGCCTAGAGCCTCTCACGGCTGTCAGTGTGAACATTTGAATATATAAATCGCACCGTTGCACAGGATCACCCAAACCATGAAAAAAAGGGCGACTTATAGTAAAAAAAATAAATTCAAATTCTACACTTGTTTAGAGGGGGGGTATTATGTTAACCATATACTAACATTTTCTAACATTGTTTCCTCATCAAAAATTATCTCTTCCCTGCCCTATTCAGACTCTCTTTATGGTTAACTATAACATTCTGTGCAAGGCTCCGCCCACAAGTCTACATCATCCATGCTCCCACATGAAAATTCTTCATAAATATAAAAAAGCATAAATCATAAAACTGTACACAGCAACTTGGGAGTGAGTTAATGTGGGAGCAAAGGGAGGGGAGACTCAAAAATGAAAAATTAAACTTATAAAACATGTTGGTACATTGTTTTTGGCAAATATAGCATTTTCAAAACAATCAAAGGTAACATGGTGATCTAAATATGTGATGTGTTAGCAGTTAATACCCCATCTTTAAACATGGGGATTAAATGGCGGCTTTTCCGAAAAATAAAAAAATGTATGTCTGAATACATTGTGATTTATCATTGCTGTACAAATGGAGTTTGGGAAAATAATCCTTATGTTAAATATGAGCTGCCGTTGGGGAAAGGCTCAGCTGATTAAACAGGGCTGCAGTAGTGTTGCTTGTTCAGTCGCGGTGCAGAGCCAAAGACATGAATGAAGGTGCTTCAAAGTGCTCTGTGGTTTCCAGATCCTCCTCACAGCTGAGGTAAAACTCTGTAACTGATGAAATAGGATATTTTTGCCAAGAAATCTTTTTTACAGATCAAACCCTCCTGGAGAATATTTTTGTATATATACATTATTTATCTCTTTTTTGTTTTATTTTTATATTGTATTGTTACATTTTGTATATTTAAACTGCTGCCTTATATGGGAATGTTTTTATCTTTTTACGTTATGATTCAGCATTAGCTGATGTCTCCTGACAAGTCAGTCTTTAATAAATCATATCTGTTTGTTTTTTTCAAACACCTTTGTGCTTGATTTAATTAGCTGACTAGTGAATGAGTTTATTCTGTCTTTTTACATAAATGTATACATAGTTTACTAGTACTTACCTGTATAAATTGTTGTTTTTGTGCTGTATGGTCATTGAGTACAGTTTGGGTCAGACAGTTTTAGTTTCATGCCTTGTGTCCTTTTAGCCACTATAAGAAAATGTACTCATGATAAATATATTGTCCCAGCTTTCATACACCAAACAATATAGTAAATCGATGTAGTAATTATCGTGACAGGTCGAGTGTCAGGTGTTCCTCTGTCCTGTCTGTTCCTCTGTAAATGTCAGGAAAGGGCTTGACATTTATTATTTTTCGGGGAAATACATAAATACATGTAGTATTTTAAATCCTTCTGACCCAAGATAATCCTGCCCTACAGTCCAGTTTACACATGTACTCCACAACCTTTATAAACCTACTCAGGAGAGTGACGTGAGTCACTCAACTGAAGATTAAACAACCACCACTTCAGTACGTGGTTCAAGGATCATAAATATTAGTGTAACATCCTCTTTAACATATTTCTGTGTTCTTTGTGTGTTTGTGTGCAGATCATTTCATACACTAAAGACTCGGTGAATGTGGGCAGTTCAACTCAGTTCAAAGACAGAGTTGGTTTCACAGACCCAAACCCTGTGTCCAACATCTCTCTGTACATAAACAACACTCAGGAGTCGGACTCAGGAAAGTACCTGTGTCAGGTGATCTCCACCCAGAGCCCGGGGCTCACCGCACAGCTCAGCCTCGATGTCAAAGGTACAAACATGGAAGTACTCACAGGATTTTGGTTATTTACAGTTTAAAGATGTCATCTTTCATGTAATAATTACTATACTAAATATGATTTGTGTTAAAATCCATAGTTACAGTTTACTCATTTAAACACACCACAAAATGACTTTGTCTGTATACTGTAAAAAGTAAAAATTTCAACACTGCCTAACTAGATATTTTGTTTTATTAGGGCATAGTGTTTGTTTAATTATTACATAAACATTACAGTAGTAGTAATTCAAGTGCTTTACAGAATAAGAAAAACATGAATATCACAATATAAAACAAATCAAAACATAGATAATATTAGGATATATATCTGCACACAGTTGAGTCAATTTCAAATACTGTAACATTCTTCCATAACCAACCTTCCAAAATATTAATTTTCAACAATTGTGATATGTCTTTTTGGAGATTTTATCGATAAAGTATACTGACCTCTGTTATCTCGGTGTGTCCCATCAGTTCCTCCCGCTGTTCCCAAGTGCTCTCTGTCTGGTAAACCTGTGGCTAAAGGGAATGTGACGCTGAGCTGTACGTCCAGTTCTGGGAAACCCGTCCCCATGTACAAGTGGAAGAAAACCAGCCCCACATCTGAGGTTTTCTTCTCTCCTATGCTTGGTCAGTACTAAAGTAATACAACATTATACTCAAATATATATATATAAGTGCATTGTTTATGAAAATGACAAATTATCAGTTTTTCTTTTTGATATTTTGATTTCATAATGTCATTATCTTTGTTATTAAATGTCAGAGTGATGAGAACGATCCATTTTGTTATTTCAAAACTGAATATTGCGCTGGTAGAGAAATACAGGAATACATTTTAGAGATTTTTTTAAGAAAGCATAACTATTTGGATATAATATGGTTTAGTATTGGGTATGAATGGTTTATTTATTTACTGAAGAATTACAAAATGAATTGCATTTGATGGAAAGAAAATACAACTATTTAGGTATGACATAAACTAGATCAATCGATGAAGGTTTTTGTGGAGAGGGGGTGGTCTTCAGGTAAATCCCACTAGCTCCTTCCTGATCGGTTTGTTGTTGTCGTTGCTGTCGTTCAGATGAGAGGACGGGCACGCTGAAGCTGGCCAACCTGAGCTCCAGTATGTCGGGGAAGTACGTGTGCACAGCCTCTAACGCGGCGGGGTCCGAGAGCTGCTTCATCAACCTGGAGGTCATCTCATGTACGTACCACATTACAGCACAAGATGGTTCAATTCTACTGGGTTAGAAAACGGCGGTGCTCAAAGGGATTATCATATATATACAGTGTTGGGAAGGGGACTTTTAAAATGTATTCCCCTACAAATGACAGATTATATACCCCAAAATGTAGTTTGTAATGGAATCCATTGTTACTTAAAGTGAGTAATGTAATCTGAATACTTTGGATTACTTGATTTGCTGTAGAGAAGCAAAGACCAGAATATTGTAGCATAAGATGTTTTGTCTGCTAAAAGAAAATAAAAAGCCCAGACTTTACTTAACCGTATTAAAAATATTATTGATAGAAGAGGAGGAGACAAGGTCCATGCAGGATGATTTAGTCCTGTTAGATCCTGTTAGATCCTGTTTTAGACCTGGTTTAGTCCTGGTTTAGATCTAGTTTAAATCTAGTTTAGACCTGGTTTTAATCCTGGTTTAGACCTGGTTTAGTCCTGGTTTAGACCTGGTTTAAGACCTGGTTTAAGACTTGGTTTAAGACCTGGTTTAGACCTGGTGTAGTCCTGGTTTAGACCTGGTTTAGATCTAGTTTAGTCCTGGTTTAGTCCTGGTTTAGACCTGGTTTAGATCTAGTTTAGATCTAGTTTAGTCCTGGTTTAGTCCTGGTTTAGACCTGGTTTAGATCTAGTTTAGATCTAGTTTAGTCCTGGTTTAGTCTTGGTTTAGACCTGGTTTAGATCTAGTTTAGCTCTAGTTTAGGCCTAGTTTAGTTTAGGAATTACAGAAAAAAAAAAAAAGAAAAAGAAAAGGATATAGCCCAAAATGTGAAAACAGGAAAATACCTCTGTGTAATCCATTTATTTCAACAAAGTAACTGTAATCCAATTACCACTCATTGAAACAGTAACTGTAACTGAATACAGTTACTCATAATTTGTACTCTGATTATGTAACTCTGGTACATGTAATCTGTTACTCCCCAACACTGTATATATATTGTTATTGTATTATTAGGTATTGTTACATCCCTAATCGTGAGCTTTCCTTTGATATCGCAGTAAATATCGTATCGTGAGGTTCATATTGTGACAATATGGTATCATGAGACTTGGATATCGTTACACCCCTAAAGTTCAGAGGTCACTTCTACGGGCAGATCTACAGCTGGACTATGTTCTTCTCGGTCTGTAGTTCTTTGAACCCAAACGGGGACCAGACACAACTCTTCTAATAAGTACAGTATTTTTCAGACTATAAGACGCAATATTAATGTTGAATTCTCTCATCTATTTTCATACATAATTCGCATCAGATTATAAAGTGCATTAAGTGAAACAACTGAACGACACTTGAGACTGATCCCTTAGCCCAGGCGTCCACGATCCATTGGCAGATATTGGGAGATAATTCGCCTGTTGTTGCCTCTCTGTCTTGGTGAATGTGAATTATGAATGTGAATGTGGGTGGATAATTTAAGTTTGTTTCCTACGAGGAGGACTCAAATAAACATTGAGTAATAATGTGTTTAATGCAGCTGCACATGGCTAATTTGCACAAAACTAAGCGCTGGAAAAAAACATCTCGTTCCTTCTGCGCTCTGTATCTTACCAAAGACGTACTAAAACATTTTGGCAGATTTATGAGCACCAGGTACCATATAAAATCAATTCGAGGTCAGTAAACACAACCAGAAATAAAACATAAAGAACACCGGATTATAAGGTGCACTGTCGATTTTTGAGAACATTTAAGGATTTTAAGTGCGCCTTATAGTCTGAAAAATACAGTACTAGAAAATGTATGAGGGTAATGAATAAATATGTCAAAAAAGGACTCAGGACCCAGGTTACTGTACTTATCTGAGGTAGTTTAATGGACTTATCTTGTTGCTTGCTCTAATAGAATAAAATGTTTACTTATGTGTTTTCAAACAGCGACCAATGTGGGGATGATAGTGGGCGCTGTGGTGGGCTCCGTGGTGGGCTTCCTGTTCCTCATGCTCCTGTGTATCCTGTATCTGCTGAAGAAGAGGAGGGACAATGAAGACGACATGGCCAACGAGATCAAGTGAGTGATGTAAAGCCATAAGAGAAGCTTAGACTTGGCGGCACGGTGGCTGAGTGGGTAGCACTCATGCCTCACAGCAAGAAGGTTCTGGGTTTGATCCCGGGGTCGCCCGGGCCTTTCTGTGTGGAGTTTGCATGTTTCTCCCCGTGTCTGGATGGGTTTGCTCCGGTTTCCCTCATCAACCCAAAACATGCTGCATAGGTCTCCATAAAACAGTTGATAGTCATGGTCAGTTAAATACAATCAATTCAATCATCGTGTCCTTAGGCAAGACACTTTGCCCAATTTGCCTAGTATGAAAGTGGTGTGTGCGTGAGTGATGGTGGTGGTCAGCCGCGCTTCTGTCAGTGTGCCAGAGGGCAGCTGTGGCTACAATAGTAGCTTACCATCACCAGGGTAAAGAGTGAATGAATAATGCTGTATGAATGAATGCTAAATGAAAAATGCTGAATAAAGTGTAAAGCGTCTTTGGGGACAGAAATGTCTGTGAAAGCGCTATATAAATAAAGACTTACTTACTTACTTAGACTTAGACAAATTTATTGATCCACGAGGGAAATTATTTGGACATAGTAGCTCACACAATATAACATAATAACAAAGAGTGAAAATATAAATGGTAATAATAAATTCTAAATAAGTACAGTCGTCCCTCACTATATTGCGGTTCACCTTTCGCGGTCTCACTGTTTCGCTGATTTTTTTGGGTGCAATTTTGCATGCCTTTTTTTTTTTTTTTTTTTTTTACAGTGTATAAACGCGTATTGCATTTGTCCCGCTGCGTCCTGATTGGCTAAGGGACTCCTGTCTCCTGTACAGTACAGAATGTGTTCAGCCAAATTTACATAAATGTTCGATCTCTAGCAGTGTGATTCTAAAGTGCTGTAGGTTTGCAAGTTTTCTCCCCGACAAAACCCACAATGTCAACGAAATATTCTGCACCAACAAAGGCTCCTGCGCTTGCACCCAAAAGGCAGAGGAAAATGCTAACCATCACACAAAAAGTTGGACTTCTGAACATGCTGAAGGAAAGTAGAAGTTACGCAGCTGTAGGGCTCCATTACAGAATAAATGAATTACATAAAGAAGGAGGAAAATAACATAAGGACGACAGCAGTAAACTGTTTTAAGAAGGATGCAAAAAGGGTTGTAACTGTCCTGTCTGAAAAAAGTGTATAAAGTGTGTGGTGACGGGTTTTACAGCCTCAAAACAGATACAATTATTGTAAAATATAAAGTTGACTACTTCACGGATTTCTCCTATCGCAGGTTATTTTTAGAACGTAACCTCCACGATAAACGAGGGACCACTGTAGCAAAAATGATTTGACTCAATTTACTCAACAGTCAGTGTTGTGTCATATGGAGCCTTTAATGTGCTAATGTAAACAACATGGTGACAATCCTGGTACAAAATGTGAATTGTTTTCTATATTTTCTCATTTCCAGAGAGGATGCCCAGGCCCCTAAACGTGTCTCGTGGGCCAAGAGCAACATGGGCTCCGACATCATCTCCAAAAACGGCACTCTGTCCTCCATCGCCTCGAGTCCTCGCCACCACCAACCCTCCCACCATCACCACGACAACCATCACCACAACAACCACAGCCACCCTCACCAACAACTCCAACAGTACCCCCAGCGAGCCGCCTCGGACACCGCCTCCATCGTCACGGCGACGGGCAGCATGGCGGGCTACAGACCCTCCCGGCAGCACGGCTCCTCCACCCCGACGCCCACCCACTTCGGTTACAACAACAACACAAGCACGCTCCCGATCGCCCAGGCCTCCGAAGCCCAGCCGGAACGCTACGGGCATCTACCGGTAGCTCAGGCGGTGCCCCAGACGTACGCCCACCACACCCGGGCACCGTCCCCTCCGCCCCTGCCCGCCTCCACGGTAACCCACGCCAACATCGCACGCATGGGAGGGGTGCCCATCATGGTGCCCGCTCAAAACCAGGCGGGGTCTCTTGTCTAACGGTGCAGCTACGATATGTATTAGCGCGATGAACAGTTAGCGACATTTCATATATTAAACTTCACCGAACTTGCTTATTTGCGTGCCAAGAAGCGGTTTTGGCAGTAGGACTGCTCTAGGTAGGATTCGATATGCACTGTAAATGTGTGGTAGGTTTCATACTTTTCTCAGATATTATGGTCTTGTCTGTTTGTAATGTTTTTTAATGATTTTTACTTATAAGATGAAAAAATTGGAGACTGCTGCTGAAGGGCAATTTTGTTTTAGTCTAATACCAAGTAATATTATGGCAAGTTTTGCTTCAGCGTTCCGATTCTGATACCAATGAGTTTGTATTAATGTGCATTGAAACTCCTTTACTCTAGAGAACTTTACCCTAGCGTCAGGATCTTTGCTTCGTCCCAGTTTGAGCTGATCTAAAATCTAAAGTTATATGCTTATATAGTTTATCTGCATTTTCCAAAATTTACTAAAATTTTAGGTATCAATATTTTTTCAGAATTGATACTTTTGGATTGGTCCACCCATCACTACAGCCTACTGCAATGAAAAAAATACTCAAAAAAATAAACTATACTTTAGAATATTCTGATAGAATGGGTCCAATAAGTGAAGATATATAAAATACATCAAAACAACATTAAAAAAATGAAAGCGTAATACTTGAAATGTTGATCATTTAAAATTTTTCACTATACATACATATATATATATGTATATAGTGGTAGACAATGTCCTTGAAAATATTGAAATGGAAAAACAAATGGTTGTAAACATAACTTTTTGAGATTTATTTATTATCTTATTCATTTGCAGTTTAAAAGAAAAAATAGACTTGAATAAATTCTTTAAGCCCAAAATTTATAAACCACAATTTAAAGGTATATATATATATATAAATATAATATAATATATATATATATATATATATATATATATATATATATATATATATATATATGGCTGAAATTGAAATGGTCTGGACATTTATATTGATGTACAAATACATTAGTATGTTAAAAATGAAGCGTATTACTTAATATTTGACATTTTGTTACTGCTTCAAACCCAGTATTTGCTCATAATGATCAAAAGGGACCAACCGCAATAGTTTATCTTATTTATAATTAAAGCAATTAGCTTAATATGTTGAAATGTTTTAATGACTGGATTTCTATGTATTTATGTCGGAAATATTATGAAAAAGTAAAAAACATATTTTGAGCTTCAATTATGCAGTGTACAATATTTCATACTAGCTTAAGCTTACTCATATCAACACGCTAATGTTGCAATTTTACAATGTATTCTTTAAGTTGTTTTTTTTTTATCACTTATGCATTATTATGTGTATATATGTTGAATTTCTCAAAGTGTGACAGGACCACAGCTCTGCTACAGTCTGTGGGTTTTTAAAATTATGTTTGTTTGTTTGTATGTTTGTTTGTATGCCTAAACACTGGAACCAAAGATATTATGTTAAATGTTTATTATTTTGCTTTTATCACTAGAATTCTGTTAGGCTGATATAGTATTATTAGAAATTATTCACTGCCATTAGTCTCACTTTCTCAGACTGTTACAATTTAAGAGGAACAAATATTCAAACGTCAAGGTGCCTATTTTTGAACTTCAAATCTTGTGTTTTTGCTGTGAGATATTTATCAGTGAGTTAACGTATATTCTGTTTGGTCAAGAAGAGCAGAAAGCAGAGGACTATTACACATGTATACAAAATTAAAAATAACATTACCGACGAGGCTTTTATATGGACAAAATTTTGTATGGACGAAATAATGTTCCAAATTTGTCCAAATTTGTCAAAAAATATTAAAATTATTGGCAAAAAATACCAAAATAAAAAATGTATGGGGGTTCTGCAGCTATAACTTTAAAAACAAGTCAAGTTAAAGCCTCACTGCGCAACTTTTAAAGAAATCAACTACAATACATTTCTTTTGGATGCTGGTTGTTTTTATAGCACTGGAAAAAGTAAAAGTAAAAAAGTAAGAAAAACATGCCTCCTTACTGTGAGCGGCCTTGCATCTCCACAAACCTGATTTGGCCTAGAGGAGGGGCTCCTCCTGCTTGTTTCCATGGAAATGTTTTTTTGGTTTTTTTTGACTATAATATTCCACAGTATAGACATAAAACGCACTTATCTCCATAGAGAATGTCCTGACTTTATATTTCCATTGAATCACGCAGGTCACATGACAAGAAAGTTACACAGTGTTGCTTTAAAATATATTAGCCAATTACAAGACCAATTGATTTTCGTTGTAGTCAACCAAGCCTTTTATAGATGTCAAATTTTAAGCAAATTTTGTACTGAGTAAACTGCCTATTAAATTCAGCCCACATAGCCTATCTTGTTGTTTATGTATGGATATCCTGCTGTACGGTTTTTACACTGGATGTCATGTCTGCTGAAGTCCGTTTCCATGGTAACATAGGACTCGTAACATATGCTCGGTGTGCGAAGGTGAACTGCAAGTTGTAAGGTATCTATTGTTGAATATATTTCCACATTGTCAGTTTTTTCAAAGATACATGCTTATTATATATAGATGTACAATATGGATTTTTAACGATGTAACACAAGCCTTTATTTTTCTACATCTGGAGAATAGCACAAAACCCATAAAAAGGTCGGCCATGATGGATTGTATACTTTATGTATTATGTGTGAAAATGGCAGTTTCAAATATTGTACCATCCATATTTATGTTCATGGAAAAAATGCTTTGTATAATATTTTCAATAAAAGAGGAAATTAAAGTTTCTGTTTCTTTTTTTCATTCAAATTAAAAAGAAAATTAGAAGGTGTTTTGAATTACAATAGTCTAAATCATTGTTTCCCAAAGACTGAATTGCGACCTTCAGGTGGGTCGCAAGAGATTTTTTTGGGGTTGCCTTGTCACGATCTTCATGTAAGTCCAAATAGGCGATTTATGGATCCTTTTATTGCTGGTTCAATTATTGATTTTCATTGTTTAAAACTTGAGTAATACTGATTGTTCAGAGAGACACAATCACTCAGTCAACAATAAAATATCCTCATTAATGTTGAATAATGGTCACACATTTATTTTGTGATTTACGAATAATGTTGGCTGATTTGGGTTGCGAAGATTTGTGACTTAAAAAATATGGGTTCCCAGAAAAAAAAGTCTGGGAAACACTGGGAAATTCTAGATTTTGAGAATTATTTTTATTTGGTATAATTTTAGCCCAAATTTTGGTCCTTCCAATATAATGTAGCAATATTTTTTGATTATAGCCTGCCCTCTAGTGGCCCATTCTATGAATAATGTACAGTACTTATCATTACTTAGGAACACATAACATATATAGTTAAAAACAAAAAAATCTATGTTATCTTATCTACCCCTTTTAATGCTTTAAGATAGTGATTTAGCTTGTCAAGATTTGCATTACATATTGTTTTAACTTAAACTTATTATTCAAAGTTGACAAAAAAATGACTCTTGTGAGCTTTACGATGTTGTATGTTATTACCCCCTAAAAACATGCCCAAAGTTGGGTTTATTTCATTGAAACATGTTTGAGTACACTTTATTTTTAGTCTGTTTACATCGTCATCCATCATGACAAAGGGCAGCCCTGGAGGAGTCAAACATGCACCGGGAACATGTCTGACTTACTGCCGGCAATGCAAACGCAGCTCCTGCTCCGGTCATACAGGGACTGGTCAGCCCTGAGCAAAGGGCCCCGGACCCCATACTCCCAGAGCACCCCCCACAGGACACCACGAGGGACACGGTCGAATGCCTTCTCCAGATCCACAACGCACATGTGGACTGGTTGGGCAAACTCTCGTGAAACCTCGAGCACCCGATGGAGAGTGTAGAGCTGGTCCAGTGTTCCACGGCCAGGATGAAAACCACACTGCTCCTCCTGGATCCGAGGTTCGACTATTGGCCGTATTCTCCTCTCCAGCACCCTGATATAGACCCTGTTTACATCTCCAAAGCTCAAAATGCTTTGTTTTTTTGTTGTGATGTCATGAACAATATAACACAGATAAGAGAACCTTCTTAATTTCTTCCTAACTTCAGTAGTATTTATTTATTTTCTAGATTTTAAAAGGTCTACAGTGTACATTATCTCAATACTGATGTTATGTATAAGTATGACAGTAACACACAGCATCCACTAGAGGTCAGCACAGTCTTGAAAGATCAATTAAGGTAACAATGTAAAACAAAGAAGCCACGTTTTAGGGTATGATGTTTATTAGAATTTGCGATTAGCGATGTAACATTCACCTACATGGCACAAAGAAAGTCATAAATATGCTAATATGCACATAGTCTATCTACGCCGTAATTCAAAAGAGCTCATCTGGGAACGGTATCCACGGAAACGTCTGTCACATAGCTTATAGTGGAGCAAACTGCAGCTTTCGATAACATGAATAACATTAAAAATAACATAATTTACATACATACATATATTGTTACAAAATAAATTATACAAACCATTCAAACATTCAAATAAAAATAAAAATAAAAAATTGAAAATGCACTCGTTGCACTCAGTAGCCTTGTTCTCTTTCATATGGAGCTACAGTACTAGATTTAGTGCATGGCTTTTGTATTCTATAATGACCTGCATTTATTTTCTGTAACATAAGAGATTACATGTTTTGGTGCTTAACAGTGGAATTAGACTTTCTAGTTTGCAAGTAAAGTCTGTTCATTTCCCCCGTAGACTTAAATAATCCATATATTAATAGTTTGAAGGCACAACGTAGCCATAACCAACAATTGAAAGACCATTACCCCAAAAGTTCCTAAATGTTGTCTCAAACTCTGAGTACTAGGTAAAGTCTGCTTATTATTGTAATATATTCTCAGGGATGGCAAATTTATTTTCTTGTTTTAATAATATTCATATCCAGATCCTTACTAACTTATCAAAGGGTGTAATCTTTACTAAAGCCCTGTCTACACTAGTATGTATTCGAGTCGTTTTTGTTGCAGATGCAGTGTTCGTCCTCACTAATCTGATGGAAAATGGCTCCAGAAACGGAACGATCTGGTGCCGCCAGCTCCCACGAATTCATTTTTAGTACGGATCTGATTCAGCACCGCGTGGATGCCTAAAAATGCTGATATGCTGATGTAGGTCTATGCGCCACGAAGTAATTCACCGCCAAAATGCTGAGAGGCTAGAATATATGTCCATTCATCTATACGGTCTACGAGTATGACCTGCAGACGTATAATCTCTGAAAAGTTTCACATGAACCATCTCCAACACGACAGAAGCACAGAACAGACTCACCATCAGCAGAACACCCCTCTGTTACAGAAAAAACACATATAATCCACTGAGTCGTGTCCTTTAGTCCGACAGAAGCTGAACCACATAGCAGCTGTATTTTGAGCGCTCAGTTAATGCAAATGAGCCATGCGGTTTTAAGTTTCATTTCTGTAAAACGTAAACAAATATGCTCAAAGCTGTGTGGATAGGGAAGGCTTGCAGACACAGAAACAACGTGTCTGGACGTTTTTGATACAGTGATACGGTGACGTGGATTTGTTTCAGTGTCAGCGTAGTCTAAAAACGTGTTTATACAAATACTAATCAATATCAACTTCTTTTAAAATCTGAGTATTAAGTATTATTATTATTTTTTATCAGTAACAAACCCAGAAGTAAAATTGGAGATTTTAGCTTCAAGTCAAAATGATAAAAATGAATTCAAATTTGATTTCCGTAACAAGAAATCCCATCCCACTGTTAAGCTCCAATGGAAGTATGCATGACCTA